GTTCTGTACTATGTGCAATTTTTCCATTAAAGCTTGTTTGATCTTTGGCACTTAAGGCTCGTATTTTGTAACAAAAGGCAAAATGTCTGCGAATTTTATTTTCTTGTTTAAGCGCTAGAGACCTTCCCGTGAATTTTATTTCTGATAGTATACGTTTTCTATCAGGTTGTATGGATAACCTTTTGCCAGTAAGAGTGTTTTAAAATTTTACTACGCCGGAGATATTTGAAAACGCACCTTTATTTCTACGGTTAGACATAATGTCTACATTCGCCCGCCACGAAAGAGGTGCTTTTCGAAAAAGCTCTTCAACCGGAGGAATTTGATAACGCCGGCTTTGCGTTTTAGTGTGGACTGGAAACCTTTTTAAAAACGGAGCATTTAGACAAGATGACATCACGAGAATCACGTGATTTCCCTGTCCAAGTTTTCCTTAAGCACAAATCCAAAATCGCCGGTAGGCCTATTGAGACTAACTTCAAATCAAGCGGGACACAACATGACCTGTACATGGCGGTAGTTACGAGTCTTAAGATGGTCAAAGAAGTTTTGCCACAATAAAGTTAGCAGACATTTTTCTTTGCAATGCACAAAGTTACCTCAGTTTATATAGAAAAAGTAAGATCATAATCTCTTGATCAAAGGGAAAACTCAGAATCATAGTTGACTTAGGTAGAGAGACAGCAAAGGTTAATAATGAACTAAACAACGACCAAAGGTGGTTAGAATTTGGCAAGATTAGAATGGATTAACGACGAAAAACTCGGGCGGCTAAATTTAGAGATGTAACAAGAAAGTAAAACTGGTAAAACCAGTAAAACATGATCCGAGAAGTACTGGGAAGAAATTAAAATATAACTCGGCGCAAGGTTTATGACCTTGATTTTTTAAATGGTTCGGAAGTTATTCAGATCAAACATAGTTTAACCATGAACTGCCTATATTTGACGCTCTTGGTGCTTAGTGTTGTATTTCCACAAGCCAAGGGATTTTGCGGTAAGAGAAGTGAAACTCAAGGTTACTTGATTTTATTTCAATGTGCCGGGTACAAGCCGGTACTTACATTACAATGTAAACGTGAACCTAGCAGTACACAGAAATAACCTCGCAAACCCTGCCTGTTCTTCGCCGGCTAGACATTATATACTCAGGAAAGGGCTCTCTTCACACGTCTAGAATTTAACGGAGCTCAGTTGACCTGTGTCTAACCCTGCTTTTGCATTTCCCGTGTCTATATTAGCTGAACACAACGCAGATTACTTATACACTACAAAGAACGGAGGAATGACATCACAAAGCCTGAAATCCTCAACCAAGCTGGAGGATTCCTTTCAAATCGTAGTTAACCGCGACTGCTTTTGTTTCTCACCTCCGCTATAATCGTGTATTGAAAAAGTGGAAGCGTAATTTCCGCAAGGGTATTAGGGAGAAGTAATGACAGGACACTTTTGGCAGAGTGCAAAACGTACAGAAACAAACGCGTTCCCAGAAGACAAAAAATGCTCGATTGTTGACTATTTCGCAAAAGTAAACCTCGATTTCTGTGGCTTCTTTCGCAGTTCTTTTTTAGCGTGTCGAATTCCGAATTCCCCAGTCTATTGTAAGCCAAAAATGTGACCAAAAAAGGTAATCTATAAACAAACAAGTTAAGACCCATTCTTGTTGTGTTGGATGTGAAACTGTGCTACGCAAAAAAAAAAAAATCTTGTCACTTCCGCTTATTGCTAAGCACGAACCCGTTGCGTGACATCCAGATGATCGGCGTTGAGTAGGTTGCTTCCTTGTCCAATCACTTCTTTTTAACTCAAACTTTCATCATTTCACAACACAACTATCAATATTTTGTTTTGTTCTCCTCTTAGGTTCTAGAGGCCTGGACGCCAATCTCACCCGCGCCGCGATTAGAGCTGCTGAATGGCTTCGAAACTACCAGGACAAACACGGTACTTACGGGGAGGGGCACGTGAATGGCTTTGCATTCCACTCGCTGAGATTGGTTGGTCACTCTGTCGAGCACGGAGCGGAAGTTCTTAATGCCGAGATCATCAAACAGGGCGGTCTTGGCTCCATCCCAGGTGGGCCGTTGGCTGTTTACATCCTTGGTGCTTTAGCCACTTGTCAAGACCCATGGAAGTTTTACGGAAAGGATTTGGTCACCTCGCTATATCAAAAACTCGACAAGTTTCCTCAAGTAGGCTTCAATCATCCATTTCAGTACAGCTTGGCTATTATTGCTCTGTGTACCGCTGGAAAGGATGTCGGACAGAAGAAGTACTTGAATTACATCATACACAACATCCCAAATCAAACGGCTGCATCTCACGCTAGCGGCGACACGCTCTCCATGCATATATTTGCTTTGACATGCGTCAAACAGTTCGTGAAAAAACCAGGGCAGTTCAGATTGAAAATGAGAAGAATTCAAGGTGGTATAAACGCCGCGATTAAAATACTATACAAACGTCAACTACTCGATGGCACTTTTGGCGAAAACGAGGTCACTGCCGCACTTTCTTATCAGGCAAGTAAAGTGGATCTTATTTACGACCTTATCTGATTTATATCGAAATCTCTGAACTCGGCTCGACGTAAAGGACTACGAGTAGTCCCTCTTTCGCTTAGTCCATCGTGCGTGACGCGAAAGATTTTTTCTCGGTTTATTTACGGTCACGCTCGACGGACTAAGCGATAAAGTGCCTACTCGCAGTCTATGGAGGCACGTTGCAGCTTGAAAAGCTAAAACATGAAGTAGCTTTTTATAATCCTAAGTAACCTTTACTCATTTCAAACGTTCTTGGTTGCTTTGCCAAAGGTACGCCGAATTGTTTCTTGAACTTTTCTGATGTTATATAACATTCCATTGATGTAAAAGTGTCTCTGAATACAAAGAAAACAAAAATTTGTTTTCAAGCTCGCCGTCAAGCATTTTTTAGCCCGAAAAACACAAGCTTTGCCTCACAGAGAGCGTCCAAAAAGCATCCAAAAATGTTTTTCAACACGAATTGAGCTGAAAACTTTGTGGACCATGAACCCTTTCAAGGCTAACCTACGGATTGGCATACGTTTACATTAGAATAACTTTTGATAGTCAACCATGAAAGCATCTCTCGATTCAGATAACCATTCGCTTTACGTCCAGCAATTGTTTCCTCAAAATGTACAACTAAAATATACAAAAAGCTTAACTACTCATAAGTCAGAAAAGTTAAGAACTCTGTTAAAATCTTTTCCTTTTTTTGTCCTTGCCGCAGGGAACCTATTTAGAAGCTTTGCAGGCATAAAGATCGGAGTAGTTTTATCGCTTATTTTACCTTCTTTTTACCCTTTTCTATTTATAAACTATATTCAGGCTCTTCTGACAGCGGAGATAAATCAAAGAAAGTGTGCAGAGACCATGAAATTTCTCCTATCGCGTCAAAAGCCTGACGGTTCATTTAAAAACCTGGGTGCTACGATCTACGTGCTACCAAGTTTGGTTGGAGCCCTTCCATATGATGTCAATAAAATAACTTGTCCTGTGAACAAAACAGGTGAGGAGATATTTTATCATGAGAGATAAACCCGACTAAAGTAGGATTTTATTTTTTATTTATTTATTTATTT